CCCACCCCCACAGCAGAGCATCCGCCAACCGTCCTCATTGGTACAATCAAAAAGTTTGTTTATTTGGGTCACGATACTGTGAAATCGGGCGCTCGTCTATTTAAAGGCATCTGGGTTTATTGGTATCTCCTTAAACCTTGTTCATTTAGCTTGCTTTTGACGTTAAAAATATAAGAAATATCCATCACTCATCACCACCATTATTTCTAAAATCGCCATTGCTCATAACGGGGTGCCCACTACGGACGGCCGATCGCCCGACTCGATCGCCTCAAAAACAAATGTGTTTGTTTTCAGGCGGTCGAGTCCCCCGATCCAGCTGTAGTGGGCACCCCGTATTAGATCAATGACTTACATCAATAATCCTTGAATCTCTATCTGTAATAGTAACTATTGGACACTATCATACGCACCTATTTCTACTATTCAGATGGGGTCAATCTCATATAAATGGGAAAGGGGTTAGAAAGAAAAAAAGTAACCATCTATGTTGAACTGAATTCGGGATAATATGTGAGGCAGCGTGGTGGAATCAGGCTCTCGTCAAAATATTCAAAGTGAAGAAACTTGCATTTTCCCGCAGGTTTGTGAATTTGTATCAATTTTTAGTTTTTTGGCGCAACACCTTCCATGTCCATTAAAGAACTCATTTCTGTGTGGATTTTTCTGAAAAGCTTTGATTAAAGGCATAAAAAATGTAAATCTTCAGTTACCACAGAATATAAGGAAATAACTAATCTTTGGCGGCCATTTTCTCACTAATTTTTCCTCTGAAAACAGGTGGCTCACACCTCCTTCTTTTGCAAATATCTCGACTTGTATTCAAGATAATTTTTTTGCATCCAAATAAAGACAAGTGAACAAGCTTTAAGATATTACCAATAACTTTACATGCCCAAAAATTGACGAGAGCCTGATTCCACCACGCTGCCTCACATATTATCATCTACTATCGAGGAACGTATACATGGGCAAGGGATTTTTTAAAAATTAGCCATCTATCTTGAACAGAATTCGAGATATCATTATCTGCTATTGAAGAACGTGGGGGGCACCTGGTGTCGGGGGTCAAATTAGCGGGAAAATGACTGCCACACCAGGAACACACAGGGG